ACCGATTTTATGCATAGAACTTGGCCGCATTCAACTTGCATCTGATTTTAATAATAATCAACCACAATGTTGGACAAATACAGGGTTGCCCATATTCGACGGACCCATCTGACGACGCCATAACTTTTGACAGAGATGCCAGATCGCTTAATGACATACCGCGTTTGAAGCGTCAGTCCAAGCAGATTTTTACCATGGAACAATATACGCCACGCGAGAGTCATCGAAATGGCCGAAGATGACGATCAATTTTGGAAAAAAATTATCATGTCCGATGAAGCCCATTTCACATTGAATGGCACCGTAAATAAGCAAAAAAAAGCCACCGCGTTCGCCCGATTTGACGCCGCCTGACTTCTTCTTGTGGGGATATTTGAAGTCAAAGGTTTACGTTAACAAGCCAAGGACCCTAGAAGAGCTCAAGGACAACATTCGTGAAGAAATAGCCGCTATTCTGGCCGAAATGTTGGCGAAAACGATGGAAAATGCTGCAAAAAGGGCACAATACGCCATCAACGCCAGAGGCGGCCATTTGAGAGATATCATATTCAAAAATTGATGTAAACAAATGTTCCAAGTAGACAAATTAAATGATTAAGATTGCCAACCGCCAAATTTTTATTTTTTTCTTTGATTTTTAAAAAGAAAAACATGGGTCCGTCGAATATGGGCAACCCTGTAAGTTGCGTATTGTCTTCGAGGCCTCAGCAAAAACGACTTAGAATCTGTCTCTAACAACAGCAGATTTGGAGCTGTTCAAGCGAAATTTTAGCGGTGAGAGTAAATATCTAAAAGAATAATAATTCAAAATGAATGGCAAAGAAGTGACAACGGCCTTGGAAATGTCACGAAAGCCTGAAACGGATATATTTTGCTTCTTCTTTGAACTTTCGAATTCCGAAGCGACCTCCAAGGGGGAATTATTTCCATTATTGCAAGTTTGACCTCCTCGGACTCCAATCATTATTAGGTAAACCATTTTTGTACAAGTACTTTGGAGGACTAATCTTGAGTGGAAAGAGCCACTGCCTACGCGGAAAGCTGGCAGCCAATCGAACCGGATTTACACATGTTAAGCCACATTCTGTTTCCAAGAATCGTCTATTTCTGGAGTGCGAGATACGCGCAGACGCCTGCGCGTACCTATTCAGACTATCTGACTGCCAAGACTTGCTTCTTTGCGAAACATGAAATAAAATTAAGCTTATCATAGCCAAGAAGGTAACATTTTAGTCAGATTCAACAATTGTCATGCACTGGCTTACAATGCACACATCGCAGCTTAGTGTTTTGTAGTCAATCGGATGTCAACGATTGAATGTCCGCGAACATTTAACGGTGAGTTGTTCCGAGTAAGGAGAATCTACCGGATTTCGTACTGCAAAAATGAGCAGCAACAGATCTTCAAACAACAATTCAATGACGACACCTGGTCAAAGGAAAATTCTGTCCAACTCAGCGAATAATTCATTAGAATTGCGTAAAATGGATTCGGATTCGTGGAAAAGTTCCATACAAAAATTATATGGCCGTATTTGTCTGCTTGCTACCAAAGCAGTTCATGTTGAACTCTCCACTAATACCTTTGTCTTATGTTTATAGCTCTTATTTATTTATTTCGCCAACGGTATTCACTCCTTAAGTGGCTACTTCTATATTTATACCCTTGCAGAGGGTATTATAATTTCAGTCAGAAGTTTGCAACGCAGTGAAGGAGACATCTCCGACCCTGTAAAGTATATATTCTTGATCAGCATCACTAGGAGAGTCGATCTAGCCATGTCCGTCTGTCCGTCCGTTTCTACGCAAACTAGTCTCTCAGTTTTAAAGATATCTGCATGAAACTTTCCCAAAAGTTGTTTTTATATTGGTAGTATATAAGTCGGATCGAGCCGGATCGGACGACTATAGCATACAGCTACCATAGGAACAATCGAAAAAAAAATTAAATTTGGTGTTTTTTAATTTTTTTTTAGTTTTTCTAGATAACCATTACTAGTTAAATATTTCAGAATTACGGTTTAAATTTCATTAAAATCGGACGACTAGCATATAGCTCCCATAGGAACAATCGGAAAAATAAATAAAAAAAATTATAACTTTGGTGTTTTTTAATTTTTTTATGAGTTCTCCGAGACATAGTAATGGTTAAATATTTCAGAATTACGGTTTAAATTTCATCAAAATCGGATCACCATAATCTAAAGCTCCCATGGGAACAATAAAAATATTAAATAAAAATTTTTTTTTAATTTAACTTTCTCATTTTGTATTTTTTTTTATAAATTCTTTATGATTAATTTATAGTTTGACATTTCAGAATAACGCTTTTAATTTTATTAAAATCGGAAAACGATATCATATAGCTGTCATAGGAACTATCAAATAAGCTTTAAATAGCTTCAATGTAAACATACACGCAAATCTATCATAATTTTAACGTTTTCAAGAATATTTAATTTTTGCAATAGTTGCAATTTTTGCAACTTCAGCTTGCCGAAGTTTGGTTTCTGTATTGTTAACATTATTCTTACGCACTAACATTGAAAAAAATAATCGACCAATTTATGTTTGAGATCAGACTTGCTTTAACAATAATAAAGTGCGAAGTTTATTGCACTCACACTAGACTCTATAAAGTGGCTCGTTTTGGGAGTAATTAATCCTGCGTAACTCAACAATTAAGGGAGCCAATTCTCGGAGGTTCCAAGCAGGAGCATTAAAGCCTACTTTTGACAGAAGTTCTTGACAGTCAATGATTTCACCCACCAGGTCGGCGATGAAACAGATGGAGACAATTCTTCTGCTACTGGCAAGTGTGACAACTTAAGGGTGAGAGAGCGAATTTTAGAAAGTTTTTCTGTAGCCTTTCTATTCTATTTATATGGATATTGGCTGAGGGATTCTAGATAAAAGTCGTGTACTCTATTTAAGAGCGCTCAAAATGTTGAGTAGAGCGCTAACCTCGTATAGGGATCCATGAAAAGCGCTGAGTTCCGCTTTACAAACCCAAAAAATAGCGTACACTTTAGGCATGATATAGTCAAAGTGAGCTGAGGAATTAAATATGGAATAAAACATTACACCCAGATCTAGGGATTCTTGTTGAACATTTAAGGGCTGACCAGCAATACTGTATGTGGTTATAAGATTGTATACGCATTAACTGTAGCTAACATACAAGCATGTAATCATGTTTAGCGGAAGAAATTTTTCCATGAACTCAAGAAATATAAGTCTAACTTCAGTGACAGTGAGTCTGCTGAAGTTTCGACTTCTTTGAAAATTTTTAAGTCATCTGCATAGAGGAGACACTGAAAAAATTTTGAACGGCACATTATTTATAAAAATTATGAAAAGCAGTGGTCCTACATCACTATCCTGCGGAAGGCCAGATCTTGCCAATTATGGTTCCGAAAATGTTCCATAAGTGTTCACTTTTTAGCTACGATGGTTTAGGTATGATCTTATCCAGTTTAATATTGCTGAGTGTATGCTCAACTGAGAAAATTTTGCCAACAAGGCACCGTGGCAAACTTAATCGAAAGATTTAGCGAAATCCGTGTATATGGTATCAACTTGGCAATGCTTATTAAAGGCTTGAATGCAATAGTTGCTGAACACTGCCAGGCTTGTCGTGGTTGACGGACCTGATACAAAACCATGTCGACAGTTGCTTGTGTACCTTTGTAGAATAAGCGAATGTTTGTACGCTCAAATAGCTTAGAAATATTACTAATTTTAGCAGTAGGACCCAATCACACTTTAGGCTAGAATATTCCTTAAAAGTGCTTCTAGAACAGGGCTCGGAAACCTCACAATCAGACTCGCGGAGGGACTATATCACACGTTGCAACTCCGCAGCAAATGCTTGACGCCGCAAGCCAACATCACGCATAGACAACTAATAACCATCCACGATAGCAACACTCCACCTCAGCAGAGGCTTTTTGGCCGAATGTTAAACACTTCTGCTGGAGCATATGGATGAGTCAGAGTTTCTCGATTTAAAAACGATGAAGGGAGTCGCCAGCGGCTCAGTCCTGAATTGGGTACTTATATATAGAATATTATTCTTACGCACTAAAATTAAAAAAAAAAATCGATCCACCTATGTTTGAGATCGGATTTACTTGACAGTTTTTTTATCACATGTACGTTTGAAGGCTCTATAAAGCGGCTCGGTTTGAGAGCAATTGGTCTTGCGTAACTCAACAAAAAAGGGTGCAAGAGAGCGGATTTCAAAAAGTTTTTCTGTAGAATTTCTATTCCATTTGTATTTATAATGGCTGGGAGATTTCAAATAACAGCCATGCGGCTTAGATAGTACAATTGTGGAATATTATTGTTAAAGCATTTAGGATGATTTGAAATATATATGCAAACAAGATCCACTTTACTGTAACTGAAACGAGCTTGCACGCTCGTCACTGACCTGAAACCTTGTATACAGCACCGAAAATAGTTCAATACAAATATTGGTTGATCTCTGTATCTGTTTCAAGGCGATACAATTACGTTTTCCGATTTGAATTAAATTAAAACCGCGGTGCTGTTGCTGCTCTGCCGAGATGGCCTTAGGGAAGGGTCATTTAAAATGGCTTGGTTATTTGGTCCCTTCAGAATGGTCCAGTTTTCGGCGGGGGAATTTTTGATCTGGGTGCATTCTGTTGACAATGGCCAAGTGAAGCTGCCTGTGTAGACCAAAAGCTGAAATTCTTTGTTTAAGCGGGACGAAGGAGGACGATTCAAAAATTATATTTGTTTAGTTATGTTTTATATGTTTTATATGTTAAAATTCGAAATCGGCGGTGGAGTAAATAGCAACGCTGGTTTGTCCTGACCTCCTGCTTAATTTAATCTAACTGTTGATTTTGGTATTAAATAAAAGAAATGAGGTGGCAATCAAAACAATTCCAAGCTTTCTTAGTTAGCAATTAAATCGTTGAGTTTTCTTGTAAATTGAATATTGAATTCTTTGTTTTTTTTTGACATTTAAGCAAAGGACAATCTTTTTGTGGACCTTCGACAAATTCTTCAAGCCCCGCTTCATTGTCGCTTATAAATGTGCCAGATCTAAAGGAGGTATGTATTATGGCAAAATTATTTGTATAACTGTAAACCAAAATGTATTCTGCTAGGACCAAATATCTAATGAACCAGCAAAATCGTCCGGAACTGGAATACAGTGGGTTAATTCCGTAAATGTAGCTGAATTTCGAAGCTTAGTTAAAACTCTTGTTGGTGGAGTTAAAACAATTACATGGGGTTTTTTCAACTCTAAGGTATGTTTTTTTTTTTAATTTAAAGCCTTAACATTATTTATAAATTCTTAAAAAGTTTCAGATTTCTGATACGGGCCTTCCTAATCACGAAAAGCTGTTTAGTCCTGACATTTTACACTCATATATTGACTTGGTCCATTATGCGATGGAGGCTTTAGATATTTATACTATAAACGTTAATCCAAATCAACAGAGAACCTCTGGATTGATATCGAGAAGTAAAGAAGAAAAAGAAGTATTAGAACACTTTAGTGGCATAGTAAGTACTAAAAATATTCTTATTTTTTCATGATTGTTATTTTATTGATTCCTTAATAAGATACTTGATGCGCCCAAAAATTATAGTTCAATATTCCTATAGATATTTAAGACTGGTGAAAAGAAAAATCATAAATTAAAAGAAGTGCATTGCAAAATCAAAAAATTATTGTACATATTCAAGCTCACCCCAGTTTGCTCCTAATAGTCGTTGAGAAAGGTAGTGTGCCCGCTAGTGATCCGATATAAACTTTTTCGCAGTTCGTGCGTTTTTCTTGCACACTAAGTCTATTTTAATTCAAATTTGTCAACAATAATCAAGTTCTAAGCTGTGCCGTGTTTGCCCCTCGCCCTGAGCTATGCACTCTGCGCAATCGAGAGGTTGTTAACAACTTATTTTACAGACTTCTTATCGTATTAAGTGAATATCAATTGCATTATCCAACATAGGTATAAAGCCAATATGCTCAATCGCGCCGGCCGCCCAAATTTATCTGCTTTGAACCATTACACCACTTCCAGTGTAACCTGCACTATCTCAAACGTCTATCTAATCCTATAAAATTCATCCGAGTCAGCAACATATCATGAAATAGAGAGTGAGGAATCTGTGGGACTTGACTTTTGTGTTAACAAAAGAGAAAAATAATTTCGGATTACTTTAAAAGTGTGCTAGGCATTTATTATAAAATTTAGTTGCAAGTAGTCTGACTTGACTATCGAGTATTTAGCAAAATCAGACTGTGAGCCGGCCAGTTTAAATAGTTGAAAAGTCTAGAAACCACGGAGAACTATAAGATGCACAAGCCTTAGAAAGAGGTACATTTCTGTAATAGATAAAGAATTTAATAGCTCCGAATAATTCGTGCTCCTTAAACACAATCTTAGCTGTGGATTTTTTGTGTACTAAATACATATTAAATTCAGACCCTGGAGGTCTATATGAGCAAGTAACAAGTATGTTGCACTTGGGCAGTACAAGTTTGACAGAAATAATTTTAATATTCAAGGAACCAGGTGTATTAATAAGCTCAGAAGTAAGATTTGATCAGCATCAAAAATAGTTGATATTTTGTAATTTAGAGTTTTTTAGAGCGAAATATAACGTTTGACTTCTTATAACAGCTATAGGATATAGTCCGATTTGTCCCGATTTCAAAGCTGATCTGCGTACAACGATAAAAATACGACTGCAAAACTTTAAATTCTCCAGCTTTAAGCTGAGCTCGCAAACGGTAGGACAGACGGTCAAACGAACATGTCACATCAACTCGTATTGTGATTTTGATCAGGAATTTATATATTACAAACTTCTGACCAATTTTAAAAAAAACTTCTGTAAGAAATTAAGTTGAACATCCTGTAAGGATATTTCTGTGCTGGAGTATCTCAGTCTGCAGAAGATTTTCTACAGATAGAATTTGTAGACGTTCCCCTGTCATAGAGGAAAGGAAGGTTTGCTCTGACTTTAGCACCAGCTTTACAGAACCCGTTATTGGGGCTGACCAAAAAAGAAAAACCGATTGCTAATATAAACAAAAAGTTAAACGCTTCACAAAGAAATTACAGTAGTGAGAAAGTGAACCTGGTGCTTGGCTTCTTTATAGCCTAGTTACACTCACGCCTCCTATCGATATCAGAACAGACGCAATTAAGCAGAATAGGCTGTTACACTTGACAGACGTGCTTCATTGCGACTGAACAGCTGTTCTTTGTTTTGATTTGTCAACGGAAATCCTCTCGCGTTTTGTTACTGGCTATTTTTATTCTCTTGCAGAGGGTATTATAATTTCTGTCAGAAGTTTGCATCAAACTTTCCCAAAAGTTGTCTTTCTATTACATAAGTCGAATCGAGGCGGATCGGATGACTATAGCATATATCTCCCATAGGAACAATAAAAAAAAATAAATGAAAATGAATTATAACTTTGCTGTTTTTTAATTTTTTGTTTTGTTCTTCGATATTTAGAAATGGGTTATTATTTCAGAATTACGATTTAAATTTCATCAAAATCGGATGACTATAGCATATAACTCCCATAGGAACAATCGGAAAAATAAATGAAAAAAATTATAACTTTGCTGCTTTTTATTTTTTTGTTTAGTTCTTCGACATTTAGCAATGGTTAAATATTTTAGAATTATGGTTTAAATTTCATCAAAATCGGACGACTATATCATATAGCTCTCATAGAAATAATAAAAATATATAAAATAACTATCGAATAATTAAGCTGCAAATCATCATAGCTTCAATGTTTTTACACGTATACGCAAGTAAATCATAATTTTAATGTTTTCAAGAATATTTAATTTTTGCAATAGCTGCAAGGGTATATGAACTTTGCTTAAGTTTGCTTCCTTTCTTGTGCTATATTGTTTTTAGTTTTTCAAGATACAGGAATGGATTATTGTTTTAGAATAAAAAAATAAAAAAATAAAATTTAAAATAATTAAATAATCAAAAAAAAAGTTCTAAAAAAAATTACAAAATAAAAAATTTAAATTTAAAAAACATTTTTTTTTATATTTTTGTTGTTCCCGAGGGAACTTTATGTTGTAGTTGTCCGATTTTGTTTAAATTTAAACCGTAATTCTGAAATATTTAATCATTACTATATGTCGAAGAACTAAAAAAAAATTTTAAAACAGCAAAGTTATAATTTCTTTCATATATTTTTTCGAGGAGCTATGCTAAAGTCGTCCGTTTTGATGAAATTAAAACCGTAATTCTAAAATATTTAGCCATTACTTTATGTCGAAGAACTAAAAAAAAATTTAAAAACAGCAAAGTTATAATTTTTTTCAATTTTTTTTCCGATTGTTCCTATGGGAGCTATATGCTATAGTCGTCCGATTTTGATGAAATTTTAATCATAATTCTGAAATATTTAACCATTGCTATATGTTGAAGAACTAAACAAAAAATTAAAAAACAGCAAAGTTATAATTTTTTTTCAATTATTTTTTCGATTATTCCTATGGGAGCTATATGCTATAGTCGTCCGATTTTGATGAAATTTTAAACATAACTCTGAAATATTTAACCATTGCTTTATGTCGAAGAACAAAACAAAAAATTAAAAAACAGCAAAGTTATAATTTTTTTTCAATTATTTTTCCGATTGTTCCTATGGGAGCTATATGCTATAGTCGTCCGATCCGGCTCGTTCCGACTTATATACTACCTGCAATAGAAAGACAACTTTTGGGAAAGTTTCATGCAGATAGCTTTAAAACTGAGAGACTAGTTTGCATATAAACGGACGGACAGACGGACAGACGGACGGACAGACGGACAGACGGACGGACAGACGGACATGGCTAGATCGACTCTACTAGTGATGCTGATCAAGAATATATATACTTTATAGGGTCGGAAACGTCTCCTTCACTGCGTTGCAAACTTCTGACTGAAATTATAATACCCTCTGCAAGGGTATAAAAAATTATAGCTTTGCTGTTTTTTAATTTTTTTTTAGTTCTTCGAGATATAGTAATGGTTAAATTTTTCAGAGTTACGTTTTAAATTTCATCAAAATCGGACGACTATAGCATATAGCTCCCATAGGAACAATCGTATAGTTGCCATAGGAACTATCGAATAATTAAGCTGCAAATCATCATAGCTTCAATGTTTTTAAACATACACGCAAGTAAATCATAATTTTAACGTTTTCAAGAGTATTTAATTTTTAAAATAGCTGCAAGGGTATATGAACTTCGGCTTGCGAAGTTTGCTTCCTTTCTTGTTTTTTATACCATTGCATACGGTATTATAATTGCAACGCAGTGAAGGAGACATCTCCGACCCCATAAAGTATATATATTCTTTATCAGCATCACTAGGAGATTTAGCCATGTTCGTCTGACCGTCCGTCTGTCAGCCTCTCCGTCCGTTTCTACGCAAACTAGTCTCTCAGTTTTAAAGCTATCTGCATGAAACTTTCCCAAAAGTAATCTTTATATTGCAGGTAAAATATAAGTCGAAACTAGGCTGTTCGCACGACAATATCATATACATAAGTAACAAGACTGATTTTATTGGTCAGCTTTGTGCCGATTACGAAACTAGTTGAATAAAATTAAAGTTATTTTCAGTCAGAAGTTATGCTGATTGAGCATATATATACTTTATAGGGTCGGAAATGTCTCCCGAAGTCTGCAACGGGAATTGCAAAAAATTACTCCCTAAGAAGACAACAGCAGCGGCAGCGATAACGGCAGCTGCAGCGACAACAACAGCGACAACGGCTGCGGCAGCGACAACAACAGCGACAACGGCTGCGGCAGTACCAGTGGCGGCAAAAGCCGTCTGCAAAACATAGAACTCAAAGAGGAAATAAATATAAGAACATGGAGTAGGCTTTTTGTCCTAAGTGTTCGCTTATGCAAATATTTCAAAAAAAATTTCATTGACACTTAAAAACGAATAAATTTCAAATTTTCCTATAATAAAATAAACCAATTATATTTTTTGGAGAATTTTTAGTAATAAAAATTTTTATTTTTGATGCCTAATTTTCGTCACAAAAAAAACAAAACATTTTTTTAATAAAACGTTCTTTTTGATATTTAAATTTTGTTGTAAAAAATAATAGGTGCAAAAATATTAAATATGCTCATTAAAGGTTTAAAACTCCGAAAATTCAGACTTTCCTGGAAATACTAATAGAACCGGGAAAAGAATGTAATGAACCCCTGGACATGGTAAAATCTGTCCCGGAATTCGACGGGAAGCAGGAAAACTATGTTTCCTGTTTTTTATTTCTTTTTACGATTGTTTCTATGGGAGGTATATGCTATAGTCGTCCGATCCGGCTCTTTCCGACTTATATAAATTATAAAACCGTTAGATATTTATTTTATATATTTGTTTATTTTCATACGCCCGTAAGGGCATAGGTATTTTATACAGAGTTATTTCTCTGGAGTAAATTTTTTGATTAAACTAAAGAACCTATCCAACTGCAGTTTGAGGCCTTTGCCTGGCTGCAGCGC